ATTTTCATGTATAACTGTCATTCTTAATATACAGAAACTGAATCACAGAAATAATTTTATTTCAGATAGACCAATATAATTTTAAAACTTTAATCTTATTTCTGCAGTGTATTTGACAGATGTCTTTGTCTAAATTATTGCATAAGTGTAAGTTAATGGTTCTACATTATTATTGCGGAATTTAAATATTTTTCTTTATTTAGTCATCGCACAAAGCACACAATACTGTATAAAATAAAGCATTAATGTATTTAACATCTAGAAAAATAACTTAATAACAAGAAAATTACCTACACAATAAATGGATATAATTAGAAACGCCGCACAATCAGATTAAATAGATTTTTGTTAAATTCTTCTATCTAACGCGCGACGTGCCATATATACAATATATTAATGTCATAAACATTATTTATATTCCTAAGAATATCGTTACTTCTATATATGTATATGTACAATAAAAAAAATAAACATGTGCATAAAAAAATAGGGTAAATAATAGAAAATTATCTTCTTTTGTTCACAATGTATAAATTATTATATAAATATATCCTTCACACAATAGGAATCATATTTATTAATTTATATTTATTTATATTCACATTTAAGTAACCCTAAGAGTAATAATAGGCAAATATAAAAAGGTCATTAAATCCATGTTTTTTGCTCATGTAATAAGTTTTGAATTAATATAATGCTATTTTTATTTATATTACAGTCTAATGTTTTCAAAATTACTCCATTTTAATGTAAATTTTTATTACTTAATGCAATAGTAATATTAAACTACATATGGTATAATTAAAGCATATAGCAAAATAAAAAAAGATATTACGAGTGCAAATTATTTATTAACCCTCCGTGGTCACACCTATTTTTTCAAACAAGGAAGTCACTCTGGGTCATTTTGACCCGAGACGAACTTTGATCGTTCGCCATTTGACCATTTATCCACCGATCGTGTTGAAAAAATTCTCGAATGCACTTGCGATATTGCTAAATTGATTGCTATAAAAAAAGAAGTGCCTAAGGAATTTTTAACATATAAAAAAAATTCGCAAAAAATTTATTTTTTTAACGGTCTCTACCTATAGAGGATACTTCAAACTCTTGTAGATGGCGGACCAAGCTCCATTTTAAGCTAGAGGTATTTAGCTGATATTTAGATCCAAATGAGGGTGGGTCAAATTGACCCAGTTGGACCACAGAGGGTTAATATGTATATAATATTTAATATAAATAAAGAACCGTCTATTGAATTAATAACATATAAAAACCGTTTTAAATTCCCACCTTGATATTCTTGATTTGCTATATAAAACGTTCTAAAAGTAACTATTTCATCTTCGAATAGGAGAAATTACTATATCAGCCACTACGTTTCCACTCCTTTTACAAGTTTCATTGTTGCACAGAATAAAGTATTGTGAAATAAGATAGCGACATGCTCACAAGCTGAGAAAATAAATTTATTATTTTGGGGCAAACTTAGAAGTGAGATTTATTTTCATATCCATGACACAAGTTACCGTAGTAAATTGTTCCAGTGACACACAATACAGGTTAGCCATGACCCATTTGCAAGATTTCATGCTTCTTTGCATCATGAACAATAATAATTTTTGCGTTGGCACGGACGTCATATACCATTGTGTATCGTATCTAGAAATTTTCATAATATTCAATGCACTTCTCTGTATTACTAGAAAAAAAAGCTGTTCAATGCATTGCGCCTTGCAATATTTAAAATTAATAAGGACATTTCTACCAATTTAAGCAAAATTATTTTTAAATATTTGTTTAGTAACTTCACTAAATCGTTATATATTTGCTCAAGAATATAATTAATAATAGCATTTATAATAAAATTTTAAATAACATATTATAAAAATAATTCTATTTTGAAATAGTAAAATTACATATATGTATATAACATTGATAGAAATGGATCACTTGAATCATTAATTTATCGACGATACTCACGCTTTTCTAAAAATTTCATTGCTATTATCTATAATTTTCTGTCCCATATAATTAGCTATAAACATATAATAAAAATGACCAGTTACAAAAATCATTATAAACAGTACAAGATCGTTCTGTTGATCTGGTAGAGTGGCAACTTGAAAAAGCTGAAACGATAATATCAAAAGAATTTTATATTAACATTCTCTATGATGCTAATAATCTGTGTGATATTGAATAGATATAATGAAAGTATTTTTTATTAAAATATGTTAACATACGACTAATGATGCGCAAATCAATAAATTTATTTTTTACTTACACGAAATAAATTTATGCTCAAAGAAGCAACGCCCAGAACAATTAGAATAAAATAGGATAGCGTAAATGTAGATGTAAAATATTCAAAAAATCTTGAAAAAAAAAAGAAATTTTATCATGTCATTAAAAATATTTTTAACAATTATTTGCGAAATTTTATAATACAATACAATTGCTGTATTATGTATAATCGTAATAAATTAATAAAAATTATGAAAATACCTGTAACAATGGAAAACAATCAAAAAGTTATAAATTAATAAATAAAATGTTAAAAATTTTTATATAAAAATGTTTTCTTACTTTAATTAATTAGTAAAATCTAATTTAAAAACTTCTTTAAAATAATAAAAAAAGAGAATTAATTATGAAAAAATTAAAACATCTCTAATATTGTTAATAAAAAAGTAGTAGATTACCAACTCGAAAGCTCTTTGATGAATTTCTATAGCATTAATTAGTTTCATATAAATCGTATTTTCTTTATTCAATCTTAATAATATGCTCTTATCCAATGCACACGTTATTCGATAACTATAATAATAAATGCAAAGTAATCAATAATCATATGTAATTATATATATACTAGAGTGATTCTTTTTATTCACACTTAAATCTTCATTATACAACATATCTTACCTAACTATTTCAAACATGCCACAAATGTGATAAATATATGCAAAAGTCAATGTTTCTGTAGATACAACTGTTACAATTCCGATAATAAGTGTTATAGTTATATGCAATAATATAAGATAAAAGTATTTTTGTTCATCAAAAAAATATTCCACTAAGAACGGAAGATTTCGCGCACGTGATTCATTTAATGGTGCCACAATGTCAAGAATATCCGGCAAAAACGGCAATGAAACATAACCAACAGTACCGGGATAAGCTATGCCTGAAACCACAAAGTTATATACATGAAGAGCTAGCCTATAAGAAATTACAAACAAACGTCATTCTTAAAAAAAATATGTCTATTTCGTATAATTTATATTTTTTTGGTTCGATATCCTACCTACAAATGCGTACATATATCTTCTTGCGGTCTTGGCATATTTCCGTATTATCTCGATTTCTTTTTCGTCTTGTAACGCATTCCAATCAATTTGAATACGTTCCATTAATTCTTTAATCTGCTTCATACGTTAAGTTTATTGTCAAAAAACTCAAATAAAACGGCGAATCATGTGTAACATCTTACCTTTTGAGATTGTATATAGAACGTACTATATTTTAAAAGATAAACTATGGAAGGAATAGCGAACGACAGATCATTTAACACAAACTCGAGATTGTATTCCATTGTAAATAGTTTCAACAACTGAAACCATAAGTTGTGTACATATTGTCAAGCTAGCAAAACAGTTTCCTTTTTTATCATTCAACAATACAAAGTGCATGTTCGTTTGTACAAAAATTATAAAGAATTACTCTTAATAATAACATAACTCTTCAGATATTTTTATTAAGCTTTAAAATAGTTAATTTATATATATGTAAATTTTTATTAATATTTTCATCATAATATTAAAAAGAATATTCTTATTTATCTGAAAAATCTTTACATACATTTAAAAATAGCTAATAGCATTTTTATATTGCAAGTGGCATTCAAAAATAAAGCTTTTTATTTTTGAGTTTTATAACTAATACTTTGCACAAGAGCCATCGCAAAAATATTATTGTTGAAAAAAGGTGAAATAAAGTGAGCTTTCCAGCAAGCGGCACAAGTCGACACAAACGTCGTTCTATCCTTCTTTTTCGGAAATGAGTAACAAAGACAAAACAATACTTGTGTCGATTTGTGTCGCTTGCTGGAAAGCTCCCAGTGTCAAGCAAATAAATTATAAATGTGAGTCGTCTAAGGTGACGTATTATTATAAAACATAGAGAATATATTTTATATAAGATTATAATCTAATAAAATACTAAGTATTTATTTCATCTATATTTATATAGTGTGAATTTTTTTGTAAATTATATACCTGAGCAGTTATCAAAAATAGAATCGTAAAGATACAGAAAATCGCGTAAATTCGCTTAAAGAATGAGTCACTATATGGCCATAGACCGAGTGATAATAAAAAAATTCGATATAGTTTATAGTAGTGATATCCAAGAAATTCCATTCCTTTTAGAGAAGTTCGTCGCTTGTGTGTTTTCAAAGTGCTTTGGTCTCTTTCACTTCACCATTCAACAGTACACTTTATTAGATACTATTTTTCCTTTTGGGAGAACTTTCCTCTATAGTTCTAGATATTATCTATAATATCGCAATTCCAATTTAATGTAATAGCTATAATACAAGGCAAGAAAAATAATGGCCAAAGTAAAGGCAATGATCGCAGCATGAGAAAAGTTACCGGTGCTCGCAATTACGTAAATTATACTTTTATTATTCTATAGACTTTTGTCAAAGTGCTTCTTAAATTATTCTATTTTATTTGTTACCTACGCAAGCGCCGTTACAGTTACGCTCCATTTCACTCAGTCTGTCTGTTAGTATTATTCTGTTTGTCGTGCATTACGTTTCGTAATTTTAGCCATACAATATACAAGATAGAGCTCTGTATTAGCACATTGTATTATGTTAAAATTTATAAAATAACGTAAATTATGAATATTTAAAATGAAATTATGATTAATACAATTTTGACATCTTATAGAAATAGAAGTGAAGTAATGAAGAAATAAAGTAATTGCAAGAAACAACACATTCACATTTATATTATTCGGTATGTAGAAGACAAACAATATTTTGCAATGCCTTATAATTTTGTAAAATTACAAAACTGTATAATTATACAGCCTTTCGGATTGTATCATACATTACTATTAATTAAAAAGTTTCTTTCTTTGTATAATAATATTGACTGTAAACAATTGTTCGTTTACAACATCATCGCATTGAATAAAGTACCATAAAATAAGACACGGATGAACTCATAGTCTAGAACAAGAAGAGTATCCGCAAAAGAGACTATAACACATATGACGAAAGTAATACCATGTGTTAAAAAACAAAAAATTAATATTACCGTGGCAAAACCTTCCAGTGATGCGACATAGATACCACCTACGAGTAACATACAATTTTTCGAACTTCTTTGCATTACAAATAATATCAATTTCTGCGAATGCAACGGCATCATATACCACTTAGAATTATATCTAAAAATATAATAACGATATATAACTGTTAATTATTGTTTTATAATAGTTATTAACGTATATGTATATACAATATATATATATATATATATATATATATATATATATATATATATAAATAATCATTATATTAATACAGTCATTAAGGGAGTCGTCTGGTCAAGAGGCTGTTTTTTTGGGAGGAATTTTTTGTAAGGAATCATAAGAATACACTTTTTTGAAACTTTTACATCATATTTATTGATATTTGAAGAGTATTTAGAAATTTTTCCAAGTTGATATGTGGCCAAGAATCCTCTGTAGAGCACCCCGACGACAGCTGTGTAAAAAAAACGGTACCCACGATTCCGGATCTCCAGTTCATTCTAAAAAAAAAAAAAATTTTTTTAATCTGTGGATGTGTGGCTATCGTGTGAACTAGAACCAAATAAAAATATTGAAATTTTAATTTTTGCCAACGTTTTGAAAAAAAGTTTCATTATGAACTTTTTTCAAAACGTTGGCAAAAATTGAAATTTCAATATTTTTATTTTGTTCTAGTTCACACGATAGCCACACATCCACAGAT